CGTAGCTACAGACTGCTGTTTGCCTCCATTTCACTAGCATTTAATGAATTGAGGAAAAAAATTTCCAACATATTCATATATTTAACTTCTCCCTTGTACCTTTTACCACTTAACAACAGACGAGTCAGTCAGCAGCAGCTCCCTCCTGACAGTCCTTAAGTGAAATTAAAGCTGCAGTAACTTTTATAAAAATATTTTTTTTCCCACGTATTTGTTAAAACTGTCATTATGTTGTGACAGTATGGTATGAGAGATCATTTGTGAAAAATCTATTTCCTCTGCTTTCTCCCAGTGTTCTGTAAAAGCAACCAGTCAGTGGCAGGAGAGTTTTAGTGCTGTCAATCTCAATCTCATGTGACTCTTCCTCTCTCCCACTTCCTCTGTGCTATTCTGTAGCTAGCATAGCCTGTTGTAAATGCTTAATCTAGTTAGCATAGCTACCGGTGATAGCAGATAAACGATTTTCCTGTAACAATAAGTTGTTTCTCCACCATTGGCACATTTAGCAGTGAGTGAATGAAGTTGATTGACAGCCCTAAAAGCGTCCTACTGGTTCTGATTAGTTGTTTTGGTCAGAACGGTGCATTACTTTAGCTAGAAATAGTAGTTCAGGATTCTTCTGATATTCTAATTTTATGACCACATGCAGTCATTCAACCATTTATGCACACACTGATTATGAGGTAATGAATTGTAGAGACCCAGAAGAGCAAAAAAAAAAAAGATTTAAATAAAAAGGAGGTGGAGAATTTGTTCAATCTCTTTTTGTATGATAAATCTTAGTTAACCTCTTGTTGTCCTAAAACTGTAGGACCTGCTGGGAAAGGACATTCTGGAGTTTTGCCATCCTGAGGACCAGAGTCACCTGAGAGAAAGTTTCCAGCAGGTAGGTTCGAGGTGTGGCCAGTCTTTACAACTGGCAAGTCTTTTTTTCCTGCTACTCCTGTAACTGGAAGAGGATGGATGGATAGATGGATGAACTTCTCTCTGCTCGGATCAAACCTCTGCTCGCAAACTTCTTTGCTCGATTTCGAATTCTTTTCTGCTCTCTCTCAAAACAAAAATGTACCATCGCCTGGCATTGGTGCAGCCAATAGAATGAAAAGCTGTGTCCAAAGGCCGGATTTAAAGGCCACTGACATCATAGCGTGGCGACAAGGCTTGTCCGAATTTGAAGTCTTAAATATCTGCTCTATTCATCAACACATCACCTAATTGCTCATTTTCTGAGATGTCTGGATTAACAGTGGCCTCCTCCACCAGCTGTCAGCTAGCCGGGCGGAACCAGGTTCATTGTACTGGGAGAGAATGTGACTCCTGGCACATTGTTTTAAAAAGTCCCACTAGCTTTCCCCAATGAGTGAAAGTTAAATACTGATATTATTCAGTCAGGTAATAGTTAGTTGAGAAATGTTTGGTTTACTAAAGTATGAAGAGATATACATTTCTCATATTATTATTTCTGTAGGTTTCATTGCTATTAAAGAATATGTATTTAACACAATGTGGTTCCATATTTTTAGATTAACTAAAGTAGCGTTTAAAAGTAATAGAACATACTTGAACTTAATAGTGAACTGGCGTCCAAACAATAAACTAAGCATCCATACAACCTTAAAACCGGTCTCCATGGAGATGAATGGGGTGTGATAAAAGACAGCAATTGCTGGGTTTCAGACACGTGACCTGGATGACACACGAAATACAAATGGTGCTCCGGAAGTGAATTTCTCAAGTTCAAAACAGAACAAAATGGATCACAACGAGTACGCTAATGCCTTAAATGGGCGGCAACGGACAAGGTATCTAAAAAAACAAACAAAAAAAACATGTATATTTAGGATATAATCCATATAGGATCGGACTTGTCATATAATCTTGAGGATTTACCCGGTGTCAAGGCGATTGACAGTGACATAAATGACATAACTATCTGATGCTGCGGACCTCATATTACCTCATACTTTCATCTGGCATGAGCCAGATGAAAGCTTTCAAAGGCCTATAACCATTTAGGATCAAAAGGAGCATTAAATAGCTGTAGACTTGTTTCTGCTGTGTGAGTAGTGAGTTGTGCTATTTTTAAGTAATTAGTCTATCTATGATAATGTTATTGCAAACAACAAGCTAACCCATGTTATTTCTATGTGCTTGGATCTACTTGTAAATAATGTATTTAGCTTCTGTAAACCCAACTTCATGTTGGACTTAATACTGCATTTCTATAATGCAGGTCAACCATTCGCAGCGATCTACAGAAACCCCATTTAAAAACATGGATGGTGGCCAGAGAGAATGGGGAAATAGTTACAGCCCAGGTTAACAGTAGGGGCCCAGTCTTGGGAGTCTACATCACCTGCTGCACTTGAACAACCTTAAAAATAGTAATGTAAGATGTAAAATACCAATGTCAGCACAAGCTAACTAACTGATAACAACACTAGCGCTCAAACCTTTTCTGGGGACAACCAAGCTAGAGCGTAAAAATAATACATCTTACCTTACATGTGAATGCTTGTCTTTCTAAGTAACTGTCCAATAAAATATCTGAAAATACAATTAAACGATGCGACCGTTACCTGTCAGAAAGTGGTCACTGGAAATTCTGACGTTGTTAGTTCCTCCACCTCCTGTTTTTAGCCATAGATTGCTGATCCACTTTTCACTTCTTTTTTCGGTAAGTTTTTTTTTTTTTAAATCAACTCCCTTGTGACCAGCTACCTTCAAAACATGAAAATAATGTTTATATTTCTCTCTATTAGAACATTGGGAACAACCATACACAACACAGACTGTAGGCATTTTGAAACTGGATCAACAGAAGTAAACAGGCTGCATTTATTTTCTGACCCCCATTTGCATTTCATGATGTCGGCACTGTGTCATCTGCAACACAGATGACACTTGTTTTTGCTTGTATTCCCAAAAACAAGTGTACATAAAATAAAATAAAACAAGTAAGTCATCTTACCTTCTCACATGTAGGCCTGTCACAATAACAAATTTTGCTGAGCGATTGTCTAAAAAATTATTGCGATAAATTATAATATTGTTTCAAGACAAAAAAACGCACTTGAATAAAAACTAAATGACATAAAGCCAAAGTGGAAATAAATACTGCATTCAACCAAAAGAGTGCAGATTATGAAGTCTGTATACTGTATTGTCCTTCAGTGATCACTAGATTTAAATAGAGAAGCCGTCTTCTCTATTTAATAGAGAAGCCGTCTTCTCTATTTAAATCTAGTGATCACTGAAGGCCAATACAGTATACAGACTTCATAATCTGCACTCTTTTGGATGTGACCATGCACAGCCTGATGCAAAAGTTCACACTACACGATTTCTTTCCCCTTTTTTCCCCTTACGATAATCTTAGGACGTTGGGCGTTCCAAGATTGTCGCTGGTGATTTCGTAACCGATCATCCTGCAGTGTGTGGTGTGTTACGGTAGATCGTCGGTCGTGGCCGCTCCGATCTAAATCGGGGGTTTTCCCCGACTGGGAGCTTAACGCAGCCTGTTGAATGTGACAGGTAGCCAATCAGAAAGCGCGGATTCTCCTCGTGCTTTCTGAGTGGAAATTACGAGGGGAATCCCAAACAGCTGACAAGGCGCAACCCGAAGTCCAGCAGACATTGGCAGGGCTTAAAGAGCTCCGGCCGGGGGCCGGATTTCCGGCTTTTGACCAAATGGTCCGCCTCAACCAAACTGTAGTATCCAGGCTAGACCGGAACATGTCAGCAGCGACACATCTAAATTTGCAGTACCGTAATTCCACCACACGTAGCGCTATCTGAAAAATTCCAACGGTTTCTGAAAGGGGAGACGTTGCACTTTCCAGCAAATATCGGGTTAATACGGCAACTTCACAGCTGCAGCTGCAGAGAGTGTAATTAATCCGGGGGGCACTCGTTTAATAGACGGTAAATTGCGAAAATAACTTGCTGGATATTGAAAGTTCCGGTTGTTATGGATACATGGGTAAGTATATCATCTCACAGGACATTTAAAGAACTACTTACAATTAAAATAAGGAAGATTTATTTAGTCAGACGTTTGAAACTTAGGCGTAAAGAGCTCCGTCTGGGGGCCAGACTTCCAAGCAAAGCAAGCATTGGACCAAACTGTAGTTTAGTTGAGGCAGTGGTGTTTTTCGACCACTGTTCCGCGGCACACTAGTGTGCCGTGAGTGATCGTCAGGGGTGCCGTGGAAATTATTCAATTTCACCTACGGTACCGTATTTTCCGGACTATAAACTGCTACTTTTTTCCTAAACTTTGAACCATGCGGATTGTAGCCCGGTGCGGTTTTTCTGTGTGTTTTTCTTCAATCACCAGGGGGCTCTCGAGCAGGAAGTGAATCATTAGAAGTAAAAATTGTAAATCAAAGAAGAACGCGTTCATTTTCATTTAGAACAACCACATGCTAGCAGCAGGCACGTCGTAGAAATGATTTCAAACTCATATGATGCAGCTTTTAAGTTGAGGGCTGTCGATCTGGCACTACGAGCTGCACTTAAGCTTGGTGTGAACGAAACCATGGTTAGTAGTGGCTAACCATCTAGTGGTAATTTTCTTACCACTAGATGGCAGTAGGTACAGAGCATTTTACATTAAAACAAGAGAATTAGTGATGCATGAAAGTTACAGGTAGCGGTGAAAGCATTGTATCTAGCTGTGATGACAGTGATGGAAAAGACAGTGAAGCTCAGCAGTAGTTGGAAAGAACATGGGTCCATTTCCCACAACATATCTGTGTGAAGTGAGCTTCTCAAGCCTGGCTACTATAAAAACTGAAACCAGAGAGACTGAGAGCTGTTGAGGAAGAGCTTTGTCTTTCTTCAATTTCTGCCAGGAAATCAGCTGTTTTCATCCAAATACGCACAGGTTTCATACTAGATGGGTGAAATATACAGATATTCACATTTTGTACATGCAAATCTTCATATTGTAACAGTGAATATGAAGTGAAATCTTTCCCAAATATTATTGCTTCTTTCAGAATAAGAATTATTTTCTGTATTCTGGCTAAAAGAATGCTTGTGAAATGGTGTGTAAAACACTTTGAAGTTTTCTACAACTTCTTTAAATTTAAGTGTTGTGGCCCTGTTCAGGTGTATTTTTGAAGTGGACATGTTATGTGCAATTTGAAATAAGAAATACATTTTTGTGTTTATTTGATTCCTATTCAAGACACTTCGATAAGAATGACTATATATATAATATAGGCGGCTACAGAGTATCTTTGTTTATATTTTTGGTTGGTGGTGTGCTTCGAGATTTTTTCAATTAAAAAAGTGTACCTTGGCTCAAAAAAAGGTTGAAAAACACTGCTGTAGATAATAGGCAAAGAAGTCTGCCAATCAGAATTCTAGCTCCCGTGTTCTTGACCAATGACTGTAAAACGTTTTGTAGAAATAAGTGCATGCGTTCGGTTAAATCAAATGCGATATGAAAGAAGATGGAGTTTGTCTCACCCGGTAAAGAAACACGTTTACTTGAGAAAGGAATTAAAAACAGGTGGCGCTGGGCAAAGGAAAGGGGACAAGACGGGAAGCTGCCGGAAATTTTTACAAAAGGGGGGCGCTGGGATTCCTTTGGGGGGGGCGTTTGGTCGAAGGTAAACTTTACACCTTAAATGCACAACAATGCCAGTTTAGACTTTGAGCAACTTGGTAAAACTGTATTGTGTAACATTAAACCATGCTTGGCTGCAACTGTATCGATGGCAGCTCTTCTTCTTCTATTCAGTATTTGTAGCTTTTGGAGCAGCTCTGTTCTCCTGCTAGAGGTGTGCCGATCGATCGGTCACCGATCATAATCGGGCCGATTTTCGTGAAAAAGTGCATGATCGGTGATCGGCGATCATTGGCTCTTGTTGCCTG